CAATTAATGAAACAGTTAAATGTATCACCCTGTTCAGTTATCTAGCATTTTTTTCAATTTTCTTGCAGGATTGGGAACAATCACCGGGTGTTTGATCTTATACGAGAGCATAGTCTGTTCAGTGTAATCCATGATAAATTAGAAGAACTGATGGAATTAGATACCAAAGAAGCTACACGTTTGCTTGTGGAAAACGTTGATAAAGTTCCAATTACGTTGGTGGTCTCCAAGCTAAGTGACAAGCCTCAACTGTTGTATCATGTAAGTACTGGGAGAGATGTATATCTTAATAATGTAGTGTTGAGTAGAACTTTGCTAATACTTTTTGTGAATTTTTATACAGTTATTGTTCGTGGACATTTAGGCATGTGTGATCCATTTTTATGTAAATAACCTAAGACAAGAGATGATAAATCATGTTAGGTATTCAAAAACTTAATATATTGAGAAAAATGTCAATGAATTGTTGATATAACTCTTTCTTTTTTCTCCATAATTTTGTGTAAGCATTTATTTGAGCTGCTTATGGAGTTTCTCACCTTGTATTGTCAGTAATGGTAACGAAGTTGAGAAATCCATATATTTACATAGAGAGGTCTGAACCTATTAAAACCATAAACAAACATAGCTTCACAGGAAATTCTGAGGTTTTACCTTGGCCTTTTTGCATTAAAAACTTCCAAGAATGAAAACAAATTCAAGTACCAGTTATTGGATTGTGTGACTTTGTTTAAAAGGGGAGTATAATTGACAACTTAAGATGAGCAAAGAGTGATGTTGTAGAATTCATGATTCCTTGAGTAGTGCATACATACTAACAAGAAATCAACTAAGAGCCACATCACGCGTACTTAAAGATCTTGACCGATACTCGATTGGGAATAGGACATTATATTGAGTAGGCTGACAGAACGATTGTGATGTTCAAGTTCCCAGTTATTTTGGTGAATCGGTATTTATAAATAGTAGAAGACTCTCTTGTAATGTTGTATGTCACTGAGAAACATTATGTTACTCCATATAAATACCATTTCAGTTATCTGCCAACTAGCGAACATCTGACAATATATTACAAAATAAATAAAAGGTTATGCAAAGGGAATGGATTTAATTTGTTTAGAAAAATGGATTCATAATGGATAACCTGCTGTTTCTTGGATCTTCTTTAGGATCCCATTTTAATTAACAAAAGTGTATCAAAACATTGTCTCCAAAAACAAACCTTTCGGTATGTTGTTCTGTATAAATCTATTTTACTGGCTGATCCACCTGCTGATCATGACATTTTAGTATTTTTTTTAAATATATAAAATAATAAAATTATTCTTAAACCTTCAGCTCACAATGTGATCTAATTAATAACCTTTACATATACAATAATATGAAAAGTATTTCTTGGGTGGCTTTTTGAACAACTTAATATAATTCTCTTACTTTCACCTTGCAAGTTATATATATTTTTCTCCTAGTACACGAGTTGAATTTTTTCACAAAACACCTTATACTTCTCTCAGTATCTAGATAGGCTCTTCCAGAAGGACCCAGAACTTGGTGAAGATCATCATGGCCTGTTGGTTCAATTGTATGCTGAATTTGATCCTGATCGCCTTCTGTCATTCCTTCAAAGTTCCAACAACTACCCGTTAGAAACAGCTCTGGAGATCTGTAGACAAAGAGGTCTTGTAGAAGAGGAAGTGTTCTTGTTAGGTACTTTAAAAATATAATCGTGGTTATTGGTGTTGGTAAAAGATTTAGTATCGTACATCGTGATAGAAAAACTTAAACAATCTTTGTAATAAAAGAATATTATTCCTCTTAAACTATACATGATAAGTGAATCCAAGAAGTTATTTTATTATGAACTACTTAACAGAATATAATCACTTTTATAATTAAATCCGTACTATTTGTTTGTTTTTACAGGTCGTATGGGGAATACCCGTGATGCACTCTGCCTCATCACAGAAAAGCTTGGTGACATCAGACAGGCAATTAACTTCTGTAAAGAGCATGATGATGTTGATTTATGGAAAGATTTGATCAGACACTCAAAGGACAAACCTCGTGGGTTTGGGTTATAAACTTATGCCTTTAGGAATACGTTGCCAACATGTATTAAAAGTATAATTTGTTAATGCATTCCTAGTAAAATAAGTACCAGTTTTTTTTGGCCATTTTAAGTGAAACTTGTACTAATGAAATACTGCTGGTTTTGGGTAAATGTTAACATTTATGTTATAGACTAATTCTGACCCCATTTTATTACTTTGTTACAATCGTGCTATCCTTGTACTTGACGTTCAGTTTTATTTGTGTTGTACTTATTTCTATCAGGAATTGACTCATACCAATTTTAAAAATAATTTTCTGTTTATCATTATTGTCAAACACATAAGTTTTGTTTTTTATTGGCAGCATGTCACTTTCTTCTTTCCTTTGTCTCTTTTTCAGTTTATTCATTTGCTTTCACACATCCTGTTTTCCACTTCTTCTATTAACCCTTTCGAGAAGGGTCACGGGTGAAAGGCCATCTCATCTTCAAAATTTTATTGAACTACTATTTCATGAATTTATGTCAATAAGTTTGGTATCAAACTGTAGAT